TAAATATATTTTTTTAAATTAGGGTTCGCAACAGCAGAGGTCCTATCAAATCTCAGGGTGCCGGTGTTTTTGAAAAAAAAAAAAAAAAAACCATTTGTAAGTATATCGGGTTCGAATGCAGGGCCGCTGGAATCGAACCCGGGACCTTTACCTAACAGTGATGAGCGACGTGGCAACGTCTAAACCGTTCCGGCCACCGATGCCTACATAAGCTAGACTTCAGTTTCTCAAAAACAATTTGTTTCAAAATTTGGCTGTTTGCATACCAGCAGCTCCCTGACTGTGGTATGCCATATAGACTTTTTTTCTACTTTCAGAACTTCCTTGTTTTTAACTTATTAAATCCAGGGGGTAGTTCCATGTAAACCAATTATCGGGAGTTGAATTCAGGTAAGCAGATTTAACATCGCAATGATGTTTCTTCCATTTTCTTTTAACTGCCATTGTTAGTAGCATGTTTTGAATGTTAGAAACACTTTTTTCCACTTTTCCACTCACGAACTCTGGAACAAGGTATGGTTTTGAAGAAAAATTCAGTTGTTACTGTCAAACTTTTGACCTATTTTAAGGTCATCAACAGGATTAAAATATCTTTTTCCGCTAATGAAAAGCCTAGCAAGAGGTTTTGTTTCAAGTGTTCTCTACAATTCAAACTCAACAAGTGAGGGAAAATTGTGATCGATATGGTAATAACAAAAAATGAAACAATAAAATGATTTTTCTTTTTTACAACAGTTGTATCTATCCTTGCTGTTTTCGAGATTTTGTTAGTCTAAGTGTTACAGTCTAGCACATCTTTTATACAATATGAATATACCATGAACATATTTAGACATTTTTTGTGGTGGATTGGTTGATGGTAGCCACACTCTGCTTTCACCCTGACCAACAAATGAAAATACTGATACGCTTAATATGTCATTCAAGGTAGTTTCATTGAACAGGCAGATCAATTAATTAAGATAGTTAGATGTATCTGAGCGAGGATAAGCGGGCCAGGATGATCGGGAACCGATGAAATATATACCCAATGCCAATAGTTTTTATTTTATTGCGACTCAGAAAGGACAATTCTATGATAAACTAATTTCTAATAGGGCTTTAAAGGGGTAGAAAATTGATTTAGCTAGCGCCAAGGAAGTAGAGAAACATCGAATTCCGTTAACGAAAGGGACCAAAAATTGTCGCAAAAGTTAACTTGGGGATGGTTAGGGTTAATTCAGACAATTAAAATCCGGAAAATACATTTGTTATATAAATTCACGCATGAAGACCACAGACGTCTGGCCTGGCCGTAAAAGGGACCCAAGATTGCTATCAGAAAGGTTTTGACATCAATCATTAGCAAGATCCAATATTGGAAAATAGGGAACTGACAAATCACTTTCAGTTTTGGCTATCATCCGGATGCTTGTGGGGGAGGATCAATCGATCCCAGATCTTTTTTTTTTCTTTAATAGCTTTAAACAATTGTGACCCAGTTGTTCCGTTCTTATATGAACGTATGATGTCATGTGTGAGAAATCAAAGAAATTCCTTGTTTAATTCCTACAGCTCTTTGTCTGACTAAGTATAGCAAGTGAAATAAATATATATAATTGGTAGCTTTGTAAGTAGACTTAGATATAAAATGTGTACTTCTGGAAATTAAGCAAATGTTACTTCAGATAGGCAAACTAAATTAGGGACCTTTTTTTATAATAACTGGCATGCATTATTTAAAACTCTAAGTTTGTAATGGACCCATTTTTCTTTGGACGAGACCCAAAAATATTTTTCCTAAATAAGTTTTCCTAATAGTACAAGTCTGAAGTTTTGAAAGGAGTTAAAAGGAGGGTTATTCAAGCCAGACAAGTCTTAATGGGATTGACCTTAGGAGGAAAGAAACCGAGCATCGTTGCTTTTCACAGGATTATGCTGAAGCCCGTCGTTTCAGCAGGCGCCAACCTACTACACCTTCTACTATCATAAGCTGCCTATTCAGCCAGTCGGGGATTTCACAATGGAGATTTTTTTTCCGTCGCAGCGGTAATGACTTTGTATTTTCGTGTGGTTTTCGCCAAAAATGTGAAAACAAAAATTCCAAATTTATTAAAATCATATTAGATTTTTTTTCAATTCTTTTATTTATGTTGAAATTATCTTCAACTAAACCAAAATTATAGAGATGTTTTCATCTCCAATAAAATCATCAAACAATTTCTTTAGCGGAAACATGAACATTTAGCTTACTACCAAAATTGATCTGGAAAAATCCAAAATACACTCCAGGCTGGTGGTAGGGGGCAAAACAAGTCACAAATAACTTTCAGCAACAGTAAAAAATAATAAAAGTTTTACATTATTATTGTTAAATGAGAAATATGCCAAAATCGTTTTCCTACTATTATAAATGAACCTCTAATTTATACATTATATTCATAATTTTATCAAATTGTAATAACAGTAGATATTATAATCATTTTTTTTGTTGTTGTAATGTAATTTTAATTTCTTTGATGAAGAAGATAAAGAATAATGGATCGTCCCTGAGTAGGGCAGCGAGTATCTCGGTCCCCTGTTCGGATTTCTGGAGGAAAAAGGATTGTTGGATTATATATGTTTAAAAGTACAGAGTTGCGTCCCAGCGTGTGTTGAGAGTGAATGTATTTATTGGCGTGAATATCTGAGAGGGCTGATGGCGGAATATCGAGTAACCCATCCACTTATACTTTACTAAACTGATAACTTTGTGGGCTGAAATGACCTAGCTCATAGATCCTGGAGCAATCTGGGCGTCTCTCGGGTGATTTTCAAGGCCGCCAGTAGTTTATTGTAAATTACCATAGACTGGAATTGCCGGTGGAGTGCAAGAAGTGATAGGCTCAATTCTGTACACACATGTACGGATATGTACATAGATTTGAGCTAATATAAATCAGTAACTCTCCTAATATTCAAAAATGTTGATAAGGTAGGTTTTATACTAAAACAAGTCTGCCAAAGAAACCCAAAACCAGACTAAAAAAAAAAGAAACTTTAATAATAAATAAATTGTATTAATAAAACTTTAAATGGTTGTTATGAGCAATTAAAAAAAGAAAAGTCATTTATATTTCTTATCTAAGTTTTAGAATATGTCAACGCATTCCTCTTTTTATATAATGTTAATATAAATAATACGCTTTTTGTAACGCATAGACATAAATAAAATTTAACTCATTGACTACATTATTATAAATTCATTTTCATTACTCAAGTTAACTGAGTCCACAAAATGACCAGCGTGGTATATGTGTTCTATTCTAGTTTTCATCATTTCAAGGGAATTCCTTTTAATCATATGGCTGATTGGCTCTTATCAGAACACAGATCCTGTTGTCTGTACTTATTATGATTTACATTTTTTCTGAATAGTAACAATTTTGAAGAGAGAGTCTCAAGTCACAAGGTAACATAAAATATCACTTTCTCATTGGCTTAAAGTGGGGTAGTCGATTACTTTACAGTTACAGGTGTCAATTAAATTTTATACGTACTTTACCATTATTTTTTGTACTATTTATACTGTTAGGCCATTAAGTCGCCACAGTGTGCCAGAAAGTTATGGCTAAGCAATTTTTTTGTTCGGTTTTCTTCAAAATAAATGAATGTCATCACACTAAACGATTCAGTGGCACTAAGCTAGCAACAGGTAGAGTTTTATCAGTACATGAAATTATATATTTAAACTGTAGTGTTTCTTCTATACTCATAGAAAATATCATTTGAGATTAATGTTAATGATTATAATTATGTTTGCTATGTATAATTCAAATAATAAAAAAGAAATTAAATAATATGACATTTAACAGTAGAGTATAATGAAACTATACGTTTCAACCGAATACACCTTAAAAAAATAAGGTAAACTTTATAATTAAATGTAAAATACTAATATCCTTTATTATAATTATATCTTTTCAAAACGTAGATGCTGATAATGGGGGTAAATTCCCGAAATTAAAAAAAGTTTAATGAAAAAAGCAGAAAAAAACCGTTTAAAAAATAAAAAAATCCATGTTACATAATAACAATTATAAAAGAATTTTGGAGAGAGTAGAGAAGTTGGGAGTATTTGATATTTCTGCATCAATAATCATGCAGAATTGCCCCATTTACTACTATTGGGTAAATGGCAGGTTTATTGGAAGAAAGTTATTTCAAACTGAACATTGAAATAGTTTGAATTGGAAAGGCACTTTCGTTGGTATCATTGATATGTTGTATTAGCATATCCTCTCCTTTGATTTTTGTTAATAACACTTAATTATACTTTTATCTAAGGTCTTGGTTGAGATGAAAAAGTTAGTGTCATGAGCAGGATTCGAACTCACGACCTTCAGCTCAATATTTGGGCTACTCGGTCACCTACAACGTACCTCATCTCAACCTACAACGAGTTTTCCCTCTATTTTCAAATGTCTTGTAATCAGGATTCAATTCTCAGCGACTTAGGAAGAGCCCACTGAGATCTGTTAACGAAGTAATTACTTCTTTCCATATTATATTAATCCATATATATTTATCAGTCGTAGTTGAGCTTAATCATTTAATTTAAACTAGCTGAGTTCGGTAAAACAATGTTTATTAATATTTTCCATAATTATTTAAATATCGTGAGATGATGTCTGATGTAGGTTAGAAAAACATTTTCTTTATCCTGCCAACGGTTCGATCTTTATTGAGATCACCTTCCAGGGCCTGGGCTTTAAAAACTTTGTTTAAATTATACAAATTCATATGTTATATGTATTTGTATAATTTAAACAATGTTTATAAATCCCAGCCCTGAAAGATGATCTCAATAAAGATCGAAACGTTGGCACGGCAAAGAAAATGTATTTCTAACCTATATTATACCAGAATACATCTCACGATATTTGAATAAGTAATTAACGGTAATTAAATATTATACGTTTTACATAATTCATATTTGTTCATGTACACATACCTGTAAAACAAATTTTATTGTTTTTATTGCATTTATCTTTGAGCACTAAATAAACGTTCACTTTGAGCACTTTTCTCGATTCTGACGGTTTGGCGGTCAGGCCACATGCCGGTAGTTTGTTCTACTCTACACCACTGCTGCCTATAGTAAAGATACAAGGGTGAAGTTTGAATCTTTTCCTATCATTACATAAGCGAAACCAATTCTATAATTTTTTCGACTATAATGTGTCAGTAGTTTTTCAACTATAACCGCCGATCCAGTAATTTGTGCAACTAAAGAGTGTTAGCGTAGTTTTTGCGTCTATTGACCGTTAGCGCCTCCAAATCGGAATTTGAAAGACGCGGGAAACGTGTATCACAGCCGGATAGCCGAAGGACAATTGACAGCTGAGAATACCGATGTGGAAATGGACGCCTCAAATTCCTGAAATCTTTTTTTTTTTTTGTAAATCCTTTTATTTGTTATATGCCCAATTTATAGCCCCTAACCCGCTCGGCAGTAATAAAAACAAGGTAAGAAAGTTTCATCAAATAGTTGCAAGATTTTCGAACTGCAAAATTTGGGTCTCAGGCTGAATTTAAACGTAAGATCTTCGGATAGTAGATACTCCGATGCTCAAATATTTGATTTACCATGACTTCGATCCTTGTGCGCAAACTTCTCATTTTCGTTTCGATTCCTACATCTTCTAAATGCATGTACATTGCGTCGCGACTTCATATGGATCGTCCTTTGTAATTAATGATTTAATTAATTCACAATAAGAGGGACTGTGCATATTAGTTCAATCTTACACTAGAAGCTGACTATTGCCTTGGATCCTAACTTTCAACAATACCAAAATTGGTGATTCCCAATGCTTGCTTTGAAAAGTCTCGTACTGATGTTTAATAATAATTTGGGGTGTTTAATAATAATTATTATGATTATAATGCTCTACCTGAATCGTGATCTGCAGATTCCTCTTCCTGAAGTCTTTTTGCCCTCTCCACTGAAACAAAAAATAAATGCATTCAGTCACACATATTCTCAAGATGTAAACAATGAAAGTAAGTAATGCCTCTGTTTTGCGATAGTAATAACGAGAATTTACCTTGTGCGAAATTTAAAGAACTCGGTTTTCTTTTTGTGTTCTCCGGCCGTATTTTTTCCATTAATTTGCTAATTCGGTCATTGCCCCTTTCCTTTTTCACCATAGGGCCAGGGCAGTATTCTTCAAGGACATTGACACAATGTCGGTGAATGTTCAGTCCACAATCTAACGGAATCACAGATTAGAATTTTGAAATAGTTCATTGAGATGTAATAGTGATAGGATAAAAATTACTTGAGCACTGATATCCTTGAGGTCCGATGCCCCATATGATTAGTTGACAATGATTACAGTATGTTACAGTATAATACTGATAAGCAACACAGATATGTCCTTTTCTTGTCATCTACAACCAAAAATAGCTCTCAATGTTGAATAATTTTCTTTATATCACAGACTCTCACCTTTCTATTTTTTCCAATTAATTTTGCCTTTAATAAAGATTTATCTTTTGAAACATAGGTAGGACATCGTTCCAACAATGAATTAAAATGTTGACCTTTAATCCCAAAAACTTTCCCCAAAACAGTACCCAAGGCAGCACCCGTTGAAAACCTTCTATCATCAATAACACTTTTTTCAATGTCTTCGCTAAAAGAAAAAGAAAAATAAAGAAAAAATCCATATTTTGATATGCATTTTAATGAACGTACAGATAGGGTTCCATTTTTGGTACCAGAATACTCTCAATTATTTTTGTCTCTTTATTTTTATCATGGATACTCTCTTCCAGTTCCGAATCCTTTGGCCCAAATAAAGTGCCTAATCCTGCTGTCCTTTTTGCTTGAAAATCAGTCAGTTGTTCATTTAGTTCTTCCTTTGCTTTTTGTCTCGCTTTCCAAAATATCTATTTAAAAAATAAAAATTTGATTCAAAAACATGGTTCTGCATTGAAAAACTTTTTTTTCTTTCTAATAATTACTTTTCTAAGGATTTCTTCTTTGTCAAACTCCTTGAGCAGCACATCATCTATTTCTCGAGCTACATTCTCATCTACATTATTAAGTCTCAGTGGCTGTTAAAATAGAGTTATTAAAAATTTGTGTGTGTAATTTTAATATAAAACAACAAAATAAATACTTACAGCTCCAGGAACTAAAAAACTGGAATGTATTTCATAAGCCCATTTCTTCATTTCCTTAGCAGATCCCTCTTTATATAGGTCTGTTACGAGATAGAAAAGCTAAAAATAAATGTTAATTAATTCCATGAATTAGGTGCAAATATAAATCAAACTTACTAAACTAGATGGATCACTGTTTGAGATCACATAATTAAGAAAAACAGCAAGATGTGCTTGGTGGTTCCACAATTTAGATAAGCTTTTAAAAGGTCCATGATCCTCCATTTGATTCTGTAAAATTTACATAAATATTATCTTTATAGTTACAGAATAATTTTGTCAAAATTTCATACCACTTCTTGATCTGACATATCTTCGTCTTCCATTGATATAATAGGCTGTTGCATTTGATTAGCACTCTGTATGAGAAAATTGCTGAAACCTTTCATTGGCGAATGATCGGATGTATCCAGAGCGGAAGTGTCCGATCGTGGCAGGTCATCATCTGTGATATGAGAATAGGTGTCATCAGGCGATTGACCAGTAGGGTACGGTGGAGGAGGAGTGCCGGGTGGAGTTGTTGCCCTGCGAGGGGTTTCAACTTCCCATGCCAATCCACCCTTGGACCTTTTAGGTGAAGTCAGCTCAGACATGGATTCAGACGCAATCAGCCTCTTAGTCGCTGAAACAAGACTTTCATTATCCCTTTGTCATTGTTGTCACTCCATATGATTCAAAAAGATTTAAAACCTTCAGCCAAAGACATATTCGACTGTAGGGTATCTGGGCTCGATTTCGTTCTTTGGTGTGTGTGGATTTGTGGACTGGCACCCTACAACAAACATCAAGCTATCAAGTAAAGTTTCAATAAATTGAATTAAATAAAAGATAATAAGTTGATATAAATATTGAAACATGCATGTGGTCGGATAGAATATAATTAACAAACAAAAAACTTTCAACAAACAAAATTCTCTACAAAAAATCTTCAAACATGCAACATAAAAAATATAATGCACACACTCAAAAATGCTGGAATCAAGATTTCTTCTAGTTCCATATTCTACAAATGGAAATTCGAAAGTCATTCAAAATTATAAACAGTTTTTTAAAATATATAATTGGTCTACAATTATACAGCAATATACAAAAGTTTAATATTGAAAATTAGAATACTAAACTAGAATTATAAATCTAACATATATTAAATTAATTTAAATTAAAGGGTAACTCATCTATAGTGTTCCTTTTCTCCCCTGTCACTCCCAAAATATCTTGTAATATAGAAATAATAAATCCCCCCACCCCAAAAAAAATCTCTTCATAAATAAATAATTTGAGTGAGAATTCAGCTATTAAAAATGTAACAAACACTCACGGCCAGGATGAGGAAAGAATTGTACAATCATGGTAATAGTGTAAGAAATGGATCCCTTTAACTAGAATCAAGCAAGATAAGTCACTCAATAATACTCATTCAACTTTAACCTTTTAAAAATATAAGTACATAATTATTAACTGATCAATGTTAGAAAATGTCATTCTACTATAATTTATCAGAAGGAGTGCCAATTTATTTGTTTTTGCCAACTGTATTGGGATATATTTGCAAAGTACAAGTGGTGTAAGAGGTTTTCATTCATGTTGATAAAGTACTCGTGCAAACGAAGGAACAAATTTGAAACAATGCTATATGCAGAACATTTTGAATCTATGATAGTTGTGTGAGAAATTTCTATCATATGTTTTTTTGGTTTTAGCCTGTATTTCATGTCTTGCCTCACCCTGCTTATAACCTTGATGAAAAACCACATACGACAGGACAAATATTGTAAAGATGGATAGTTATATTACTCGAAGCAGATTACATTTTGCACAAGAAAACACAGTAAAGAAAAGGTAGAGGATTGTAGAATGACTTTTAAGGGTCACACACAGGATACAGACATCCGGTAGGCAGGGAATATTGTGAGTACATTCTTTCCCGGTCCTGGCTATAGGTTGTTAAATGTATAATCGAAAATGATAAATCAATGAAAAGGTCCAGTGAAATATCCTGACAATTTCTGTCAAATGAGTTATTTTTACTTACCATATAGTTGTGATGTTCCTGGTGAAGAAGGTACTGCCTGGGAGGCAGAGGGGGCGGGGAAGAAGGAAGATGGGGTCGACGGTTCCTGCATGGCAAGGGGGGCGCCTCCATACCCTTGGGTAAAACCCCCGAATGAATTAGTCACAAACCACCAACAAACATTCGCGTTTTCGAAGCTATGGCTTTCCAAAGGGGACCTATCTTACTACTAATACCTTCATCATTTCACTATGTGATTTTTTATTAACATTACAACAGTAATACTTTGGGAAAACTTGATCTATTGTTTTTTAAATTATTTATTAACCTTAGTAAACCTTAGAATAGTATAAAACATATATACATAAATTCAAAACACACTATTAGACACTGCCGATAAATAAAAAGCATTGTACACATATCAAAATTAACAAAGCTATATATAAAAAAATTATGTACAGAATGTGTATAAATAGTGTTTAAAAACAAGGAAAGGGAGGGGGAGAAAGGAGAGAGAGAAAGTGATATAAAATTCAAAACAAAAATTACAAAAAGCCACAGCCACGAAAAGCAAATTAGAGAATAATCATGTTTAATATGTATGTACAATATTTTTTATATTAAATGAATAAATGACCTGAAAATGATAAAAATTTAGTCATTATGTATGTAAATTTCAGTTATTTAAGCGGGTAATATTTACAAAAATAAAAATATTAAACAATAAAATAAAAAACTTAATTTGAAATCTTGATCTTAGATAAAATAGATTTAACTTTAATAGGACTTTTACCTGAACTCTGGTCAATTAAATAAACTCTCTCTCAAGAAAATCACTTCTTAAATTGAAGACAATTTATAATTTATTTAAGAGGACAAAAGTCCTAATTGGAAAAAAAAAATGTGCGTGTTGTTTCTTGTTACACATCATACACAAGGCAAACGATAACTGATAAAATGAAAACTCAATTTAAAATAGAAGACAATCAAAATTGAAAACAAACTTTCAACAAACAAAACTGCAAACACAATGTATAAGACTAAACAAATACAAAGCAAGTATAAAATGGAAAAAAGTCTACAATTTTCCAAGCAGGATAAAACAACAAAATTATGCTACCAACTATAAACAGCTACTTCATAGATGCATGCTCTAAGCACAACTTACTGTGTAAATAAAATTTGTTTTTATGTAAAATAATGACACCTTGGCCTTAAGTGTGAAAAGTGATCATTTATAGAAGTAATCCGAACGTACAAAATAATAATAAAAAATTATGTAAAAATTTTGCTGCTAATTCTATTGTGCAGAGCAATTCCATCTCCCTTTACTTACTTAACATTCTGCTGAGGCCAAGCTTGAAAAAAATTCAGATACTTAATTTTCTTACTTTTTTTAAGCAAAAAGAGATAAACTTCTTAAAAATGCCAACTCTTAAAAAGTTAAGGCTTAAATAATTAAATTTTTGAAAGACCTCTTGATAACTCTTGTTAACTTAAATTATGAGCTCAATATTATTAGTTTAAAGCATTGATTAGAAAAGCATAGCTGGTAAAAACAATCAAATTTAAATATATTGATTTAAAGAATAGCTTGATGCCATGACCAGTTATTATATTTCTCATTTTTATTAGTAATGGTTAATGGTGAAATGTAAGCTGTTTAAAAATATTTTTAAAAACATACCTCCTGTTCGAGTTGCTGGAGGAGTGTCTGGACCCGCCTTTCCGCTCCAATGAGGGTCTTTTGCAATTTTGACTCCAACCCAGAATCATTGCCCTTTGCCAACTGGCTCCTCAAAGAGTCAACGTACCGTTGTTCCTTTTCCAACATTAGATTGAGAGTATGTGTTTTTTGGTGTTCCAACTGCCGAAGCTTCTCATGCTGAAGAATCAAAATTTAAGCAATATTATGCTGTCAAATCCCCCCCTTAAAAAACTTACGTCAACGGGTTGGGGAGCAGTGATTCTGTCCCTTGATTGTGACTGTAGGGTATGGCTCAAATGTCTTGAAGGAAGTGTCGGTGATGCCATGGCTCCAACAGATTTATCCAGCAACGGGAACTGCTGGACTGTTAAAATGACCTGAGCAGCGGCTGAAACACAACGAACAATCAGAATAATGACAAAAACCACCATTAAAGATAAAAAGTTATAACAATTTGTGTCATTTGTATTTTTGTAATATTTACCAGCTTTATAGGTGATAATAATTAATTTGAAAAAACCATATTAGCAATGATAAGATAAATGTAAGTAAGGTTTTTAAGACACTTATAAATTTCACATGAAAATATTGGTGACCACAAGCTGATTTTCTGTTATTGTTTCAAAGCTAACACTCCTTTTTTTATATTAAAAAAGAAATAACAATAACTAGCAAGTCACTGTTTCTAGTTATGTTTTATTCTTGTGTGACCACTTTGTAACACATACAACACATAACATGTGTCTTTTTCTTCCCCAAGCATCCACTGCCAGCATCAAAAATAAGTTTGTTTTTATTAAGAAATTCTTTACACAAAATTATATCGCATTACTATATCTCAAATTGTACTCTTTAAGCTGCATTTACCGGACTCGTCCGTTCCCTCTCCCTTCAACGTCTAGCACTGAAGAATTAATGCCTTGTTAGGCACAAAACTTGTACTCATGTAAGTACAGCTTGGGAATCCCAGATGAAAATGCCTGTTTCATCGGATTTTACCAGTTCAGTGTGACATGGTCTTCAACTAAATTTTATGGTAATACAAATATTTTATGTCATGCCCTCCACATGGGAAAGAACTGCTTCCATTCCTGTCCAAGCAACGGTTGCAATTTTTTTGTCCAAATGTCTGCAGAAAGGCATTTGTACAAAAACATCTTACCGCTACCTCCAGGTCTGTCAGAAAGAACATATTTTGAGAGCTACTCATTTCTCAGTTATGACCAATTTAATGGTTTTCAAAAACTGATCTGCATTCATTTCTGCATGCATTTGTTCATAAATGACTTTATGATTATACTCTGTAGATCTTCGTCGACCACAACATCTTTCAAGATTTTCAAGTCTTTCAGGAAGGCCACATTGTTTTCTTGTTATTCGCTCATTTTGAATCAGATCAAAAATAATGGACACTGCAGTAGCTACACTTCAGTGTTTGCTTAATTGGTCTTTAAATTGTTCTTGATGCATCCGTGCATCTACTTCTCCTCTCATTATCACATAAACGAAGAAATGACTCAATCTATTTGGCGTCTGTTTCTAGCGGCATCGCTCATTCATCATTTCAAACATATAACTTTTCAAATTAACATAACCCTGCTGCTCTCACTGAAGAGATCTTATGATAAACATCTGTAAGTTTGCAAATTATAATCTGTTTTAGCAACTTTTATTTTAAATTCAATTGGCCTTAAATAGTTGTTTAATACTATGTAATAAAAAGATACAGACCTTGCAGAAAATCTTTCACAATTTTAATCCGAACAAAAAACATTAAGTATCTAACTTCCACATTAAAATAAGTACTGAGAGCGATTATTTAAAATTTTCAAATTAGGCTTATTTTCCTGCATACATACATTCCTTTTTCCGATGTATGACATGGTTTCTTGAAGTTGAGACTGACAATATAGTGAAATAAATGAAAAATTCTGTTAAAACGCAGTGTTTACCCTCCTCTATTTTTTTTATTTCTACACCATCTCTCCTCTCTCTCACTCTCTCTCTCTCTCTCTCTCTCTCTCTCTCTCACACACACACACACACACACACACACACACACACACACACACACACCACTTTTTTTCATATTATAGAGATTTTGAACAAGTTAAACACTGAAAATTGTGGCTTTGACTGGTTATAGTTAAATGTCCATAGGTGTTTCCCATTTCCCACAAAACACTTCTATTTGTAATTTATTTATTTATTTTATTTTTTAAGGAGAACTTATAAGGAAAAAATCTTTAATATGTCATAATTTGCAGTTTATTCCTTTTAAACTAAAACATATGCAAACAGAAGCTTCAAAATTAATTTGCTGCCTGGGACAATTGCACGATTAAACAGTAGATTGATTTTATCCTGAGAGGAGGATTAGAATATTAATGCGGATATACTTTTATCAGTTATAATACTTTAACTGATAAAAGAGAAGGAAGACGAGCGAGGTGCATACTGTAAAGTGCCTATGGATAGGACAGATCTTGCCTAACCAGGTACAAGGGCCAACCAGGCAAACAACGAATAAAGTTCATTTTTAAATATTGATCTATTGCTAATTAAACGTCATGCAAGCCAATTGTTCAACGATACGCGTTTTTCTTGCTCTTTGATCAATTCGTTACCAAATAGTAGTAGCGTTAGTTGTCAGTCTGTTCAGGCCAAGGAATTCCCTTTTGTTATATTTACACAAGTACAATTTAAAATGTTTTGCAAGTAACAAGACATTAATTCTCCGGCGCCAGATGTGTGAAGGCAGATGGAACGGATGAGAGCCGGCGGCCACTGCTTTATGCTAGGCGCATATGGTTTCTGATTATCCGCGGACTATCAGAGCAGAATATCTGCAAGTCGGAAGTGATAGGTTTTTCTTTTAATTCTTTAAAAACTTTTCTGAGGGAGACATCCAACTCCCGTTGTGAGGTCTTTGCTAGATTTCTTAATATACGATGAAATCTCTGCAGATTTTACGCTAAAAAGACATATTTTTACAATTATTTGGAGATCGTGAGATGCGGTCTTGTGTGGTGTAGGTTTAGAAAAATATTTTCTTTATTGAGTGAGTACAAATAGTTTGATTGTGTGCAAATTTCTATATTGTGAACATTATTGTATAAATTTCACACCTTACATGTTTTTGTACAATTTAAACAACGTTTGTAAATCCCAGGCCCTGAAGATGATCTCAATAAAGATCGAAACATGGCACAATAAAGAAAATGTTTTTCTTTAGTGAACCACACAAGACTGCATCTCACACTTTCCAAATAATTATTAATTAATGGACACTAAATACTACATACTTATTTTTGTTTTATTTTGATCAATCAAAACTGGAAAATTTAACTCAACATGCTGCCTGGAAACACTTGGGGAACATTGAAAATATAGGAACCAAGGTAACCTTAAGGATGTTACCTAACTATTCCACGTAGCCCGAACTAATTGGGCCAAGCTCTAAACGGTTTAGCTAATAACTACAATAGAAGCAAGCTATAAAATAAGTCTGGTTTATTAAGGAATGATTGAATAGAAACGTGCGAGTTGAAAGATTATCCGAACAATAGCAGAAGTGAAGTTTACTAAAACTACACAATGTTTCTGGACATTTGGCCTTCCTATCCTCGCTGTTTTGTTTTGCTCACTTTTAAATAAGAGGCAATAAGCTGAAACGCCAAACAATAGACTAAAATAATCACAAACGACCAAACTACAGTGGTGGGCAAAACCACAATAAAACCTGACCAAGATGTGTAGTCTACTCACTACTGTATGTGCTGACCAAACTGCTTGACTGCATACAACTATTTCAATTTAACCGGACGTATATTTTGTGAACTAATAACTTTACACTTCGTAAATCAAAAAAATCGAATAAAGCGGACTACACTATAATCAATTTTTGCATTATGTACATAATTTCGTATATAACATCAGTAGGAATCTATAATATGGAAGTATGGTGTAATAATTTAAAACGGAAAAATTCCAGGAATAACAACATTTGTTTTATCGTATGTTTTAGCTGGTACACAGTTTGGTCTGTTGTAATTTGGTCGGTACGATTATTTCGTTCTGTATATCCTCACGGAGTTGGTCCTTGTAATTAGCAGCATTTGGTTCGCCTATCATATATTACAGAACAACATAGAGAAGTGAGCAAAACGACCAAATTACAGGTTCATCACTCCGCGGACCAAACAAAGAAATCTCACAATGATAAAATTACTCAGTCTATGAAAAGGAATTAATTGTGTTCATCAAACGAAAAGCAGTACCTTTTAATACTCACCTGAGCAAATTTGATATAGATCTTTGGAATTATCACTGTGAGCGTTGGTCTTCATCACTGGTGGTGCATTTAGCTATTTTAAGTGATTGTTTAAGGTTATAAGCAAGAAACGAGTATGTTATACAAAACCAAAATTGAAACGCATAACATGGAAATCGAAAACAACAAGCACAGGTCCATCAATCAGCTTTCACAGTTTTTGTTGGACAGACCTCAAGAATCCCAAAAATCAATAACGTTAAAATGAAAATAAGCTAATTACTCGTTTGACGACATATTTCATAGCGACTTTCTTCACAAAATAATACGGGATTTAGAAACGCAACAATGCCTATTTTACTGAACACTGATCAAAAATATTATAGCTTATCAAATTTCTTTAACTGACTGAGAGCCATTTTTGATCTGAAAAGGATTCTTATCTTGCGGGAATGTAATTTGATTTACTATCGTGGCTTACTGAGAGCAATTAAAGAATGAAAGGTTCGTCTGTTCCTGGAATAAAATATATTTAGAAAAACAACAATATAATTAAAACCATTGTAAAAAGATTTTTCAAATAACATTGTTGAAAAGATAATAGGGTAATTAAATTTTTTAACAAGCGATTAAAACGCAAATCTGTTATCTAGCTTGTTTGGGTCTGCGAAGCGACCGCAGACCTCGACATAAAATTTCACAAGTTTCTTTTTTAATTCGTTAAAATTATTTAACAACTACAAGTGTTTTATTTATGCATTTATTTTTAACTTTTTAAATTAACTGCACAGAAAACGAGAAAGGCTTCGATCGTCAAGGATCAACAATGTTTACGTAGGCTTTAGAAAATAAATGATTGCTGAATCCCACGTTTTGCACATGTAGATTCATTAATTTATTATGGCGTCCGGCCGTGTCAGTTTCATGTTCGTTTCGAAAATTCACATCATAAAACATAACATTTCGTTATAAACCAGCAATTTAAATAAAGACGATGTATTTCGAAAAAATACGAAAATTTCTCGTTAATACTATGAATTCTACAGTCTGAGTAGTGATGCGCCATCCATGTCTTAAGGTGGTCATTCACAATCGCTCCAAATGGAACCGCGCCA